CTACATCTGTCTGGATCTCTGTCACTCTCCCTGGATGTCTTTACATCTCTCTGGATCTCTGTCACTCTCCCTGGATGTCTCTACATCTCTCTGGATCTCTGTCACTCTCCCTGGATGTCTTTACATCTCTCTGGATCACTGTCACTCTCCCTGGATGTCTCTACATCTCTCTGGATCTCTGTCACTCTCACTGGATGTCTCTACATCTCTCTGGATCTCTGTCACTCTTCCTGGATGTCTCTACATCTCTCTGGATCTCTGTCACTCTCCCTGGATGTCTCTACTTCTCTCTGGATCTCTGTCACTCTCCCTGGATGTCTCTACATCTCTCTGGATCTCTGTCACTCTCCCTGGATGTCTCTACTTCTCTCTGGATCTCTGTCACTCTCCCTGGATGTCTCTACATCTCTCTGGATCTCTGTCACTCTCCCTGGATGTCTCTACTTCTCTCTGGATCTCTGTCACTCTCCCTGGATGTCTCTACTTCTCTCTGGATCTCTGTCACTCTCCCTGGATGTCTCTACTTCTCTCTGGATCTCTGTCACTCTCCCTGTATGCCTTTCCATCTCCCTGGATCTCTCTCCATCTTGCAAGAGACGAGGACAAGGATTTGGGATGGGACGGAAGAAAGGAATGGTGCCAAAACTCATGGACGGTCGGGGGATTGAACGCCGACATGCATGAAGCGAGACCTTTCGCTCTACCGTCCAGCCCAAAACAACTTCCATGACCCTTCCGTACTATTTCAGTGTTTAATATTCTCGTCTTGTAAGGTTTCTCATTTTGGTAATCATTCCCCCCAGAGTGACTGCTTAAATCAACTATTTGGTGGAGACGAAAAGGATTGTTGTAACTAACAATTTTACTTGTTAGTTGCAACAATTGTCAGTTGTGTCTCTTCATGTCCTGTACACAATGAACAGTACACATGAAGGAAGGCAGAAAGCAAAATTAAACCTCCCTAAGCCTAGTAGTAGACATACATGCATTATATTAGGCCTATCTTGAGGTTATCTTGAGATGATTTCGGGGCTTTTAGTGTCCCCGCGGCCCGGTCCTCGACCAGGCCTCCACCCCCAGGAAGCAGCCCGTGACAGCTGACTAACACCCAGGTACCTATTTTACTTCTAGGTAACAGGGGCATAGGGTAAAAGAAACTCTGTCTATTGTTTCTCACCGGCGCCTGGGATCGAACCCAGGACCACAGGATCACAAGACCAGCGTGCTGTCCGCTCGGCCGACTGGCTCCCCTAAGGTAGCTTATATTATTTGACTGAGGATTGCTTGGACAGAAGTTACATTCTTTAGTTACTTTTCGAAATTTTTATATTTTTTGGGGGCTACTTTAATGATGACATACCGAAAATATTTGGGGCCAACAGGGCGTTTAATATGACCAAATACCTGATAAATAATATAATTTTAGGAGGATGCGCTATATTTTGGATATCACACCGTAATCTTATCTAGTCTTGTCAAGTTGCTACATCCTGAGAGGTTTCCTTAGCCTGGTTGTCTCCTTCTATGAATATTTTATCTCACACCCGGAATGACTCCTCGTCCAATTTGACTTTTCTAATCTTTTTCCTCCAGGCGTTAGAGTCCATTCCTCTTACAGTAATTATGGCTGTAGTTCCTCACCCAACTTCAGTAGTTTCCCATTCACCTTCTATAAATAATTGTTGCTTCTTTATTTGGATATATTGTTCCATCATGGGTATTTTCCCTGCACTGTGGGTTTCTTCCCTCATCTTGGATTTCTGCCCTCTGTGGATTTCTTTCATGTTAGATATTTTTTCCTTCATTTATCCTTCCAAATTGAATATCATTCCTGATCTTGGATATCTTCCCTAGTCTTGGATATAATACATATCCTTGAAAAGATTAGGTAATCTTGAACACTATTCTTTATCCTGGATTTTCCCACCATAACTTTGGATATATTATTTAATTTGAGGTAACTTATCTAATCTTGGATATCTTCCCTAACCTTGACTATCACCTCTCTGCCTCTCTGTCTCTCTTTCTCTCTCTCTGCCTCTCTGTCTCTGTCTCTCTCTCTCTCTCTCTCTCTCTCTCTCTCTCTCTCTCTCTCTCTCTCTCTCTCTCTCTCTCTCTCTCTCTCTCTCTCTCTCTCTCTCTCTGGTTTTCTCTCGCTCACTCCGAACGTTTATTGATTATAAGAGAGAGACTTTCTCCCTTTAACCGGCTGATCATGACGACAGCCATAGCGTTATCTCTCTCTTTCTCTCTATTGGAATATATCTCAATTTCTGTCTCTCCCTCTATATATCGTTATCTGTGTCTTCGTCTTCTTTTGGTATCTGTTCCTAGGTCCTAATATCTCACTCTTTCGCAATTCTTCCTTTAGCGAGTTACATGGTTATGGCTTTTCCGTTTTCTCCAATTATTGGGGGTTTTGGGGTACATTTGGCTAAAGCGGACTAGCGGTCAATGTTTCCGGTGTGTGCGTGTATGTTTTGATGTCTCTGTGCTTGCCGACCTGTGCTTGCTGGAGTACAGGAGGGGCTTTAGTTCATCATGAGGTTTTAGGATTCGTTCTTATCTGCACTTTAACCTATGGGTAGAGGTGGCTTCCATCACCTCTGCTTTGAGTCTACCTCAAAGCAGAGGTAGACCTACCTACCTACCTTTTGGAGCCGGTGGCTGAGCGGACAGAACACTGGACGCGTGATCCTGTGGTCCCGGGTTCGATCCCGGGCGCCGGCGAGAAACAATGGGCAGAGTTTCTTTCACCCTATGCCCCTGTTACCTAGCAGTAAAATAGGTACCTGGGTGTTAGCCAGCTGTCACGGGCTGCTTCCTGGGGGTGGAGGCCTGGTCGAGGACCGGGCCGCGGGGACACTAAAAGCCCCGAAATCATCTCAAGATAACTTGAAGATTACGACTATATAGCACTTGGAAGGGGTCAGGATAAGGATTTGGGATGGGACGGGGGTGAGAAGGAATGCCTTCTAACCTAACCTAACCATTTAGACGGTCGGGGATTGATCGCTGACCTGCATGAAGCGAGACCGTCGCTCTACCGTCCAGCCCAAATGGTTGGAGAGTATTACAGATAATTATCTTTTAAAGCTGGAAAATAACGTTGTTTTTTTACAGTTTCTCTTAAGTTACCTCGCTGTGCTCTGTTCATGTGTGTTTCTGGTGTTAAAGCCGGTGTTATACGTACATTCTGGTGTTAAAGCCGGTGTTATACGTACATTCTGGTGTTAAAGCCGGTGTTATACGTACATTCTGGTGTTAAAGCCGGTGTTATACGTACATTCTGGTGTTAAAGCCGGTGTTATACGTACATTCTGGTGTTAAAGCCGGTGTTATACGTACATTCTGGTGTTAAAGCCGGTGTTATACGTACATTCTGGTGTTAAAGCCGGTGTTATACGTACATTCTGGTGTTAAAGCCGGTGTTATACGTACATTCTGGTGTTAAAGCCGGTGTTATACGTACATTCGGGTGTTAAAGCCGGTGTTATACGTACATTCTGGTGTTAAAGCCGGTGTTATACGTACATTCTGGTGTTAAAGCCGGTGTTATACGTACATTCTGGTGTTAAAGCCGGTGTTATACGTACATTCGGGTGTTAAAGCCGGTGTTATACGTACACTTAGAGCCTTCACTTCTTATTTGTATGCCTCGAATACTGTAATATTTTTTGCTGTATCTTTTCCCCTCCCCTGATTTACATTTTTTTTACAATTGTAGAGGTTGAATTTAATTGGCAATTATCTAAGTCAAGTAGTTTGTGTTGGTTGTTATGAAACAGAACTTGTTCTCAACCTCTTCCTCCTCATTCTCCTCTATGCTTCACCCTCACTGCTGTGCATATGTCAGGGTTGAAGTTAAATAGCCACCTTTCCAACCACAGACTGAATTCAGAGCTCTATTAACCATACCGAATTTATCTTTATCGTTCATTCTCCTCATTGGTTTATATATATATATATATATATATATATATATATATATATATATATATATATATATATATATATATATATATATATATATATATATATATATATATATTGATTACTAAGAGGCAGAGAAACAACTGTATGAGTGTCTCAGAACAATATATTATCGCGATCACTAAATACTCTACGGGAATCACGCCGCATATTTCACTTGATTACTTAAAAATTGCGTGGGTCTAAAATAACGAATATTTCTTAAAACGTTTAAATTTGGCCTTTTCCAATCAGCCTATGTCCATTCTAGACCTCCAGACCATATCCCCTGTCAATCTGGGGGAAGACTAACGTCAATCATCAGTCCGTCAACTTTGGAGTGACAGACAGGGTGACAGGCAGACATCTTCTAGGTAGATATATTTACCTGCATTTATGTCGCGCAATATTTTCATTCCCATTTACTGCCAAATACGCAGTAAATGTTTAAATTATATAGTTAAAGGTAAATTAACAATTATCTTATATTTGTATATGTAAATTATTATAGGCCATCCAGCCGGGATAAAAATAACGTTAGCCTAATGAGATTATCTCAGAAATAAACTTGAAAATTAAAAATAGTTATCAGACGTCACTGTTCTGTGTCCGATCAGAATTTTAAATCCGAACACCTGTTACAGCAAATAATTGGTCTTAATACTGTATGAATATTAGGTTTTAAGTGATGCTATATAGCCGCTCAAAATCATATGTATATGCTATGTAGCCGCTCAAAATCATATATATGTGCTATGTAGCCGCTCAAAATCATATGTATGACATACATATACTAATACATTATAGAAGCAACTCTGCACACACAACAGCATCAATTTACGTATAAAATCATGTCATATATATTTTCCTATACATTTCCGATGACGATATTCATTTCTTAGGAGAATGTTAGCTTCATTCACATAAATATACGTTTGTTCCAACAATATTCCTGGGAGAAGGGGAGTAACGCTCGGTACGGGGCCCCGCCAGCGGCGCTCGGCGACAGGCCCGGCAGTCGAGTGGTGGACGCCGTCGGGTGAAGACCGTTCACCATCCCTTGCCCGAACTCTTAACACTTAAAGTGGTTGGTCTCGCGGAGATCAGCCTGGCGACCAAAGGAAAATGATTGATAGTTATTGTCACGTGTGTGTAATTCTTCGGCTATGTACGTAACTGTGTAATAATGTATATTTAGTGAAGTGTAATAATTTTTTGACTGCGACAAAAATGACTTGATTAATATTTCGAGTATGGTGAAAAAAATTGTTGAATTGATTGACTTGTAAATACCTGGTAAGTAATTTTTTTTTCTTGTGTAGTGTTGATTTATGTACTGTAAGTGTGTGCGTGTGTGTGTGTGTGTGTGTGTGTGTGTGTGTGTGTGTGTGTGTCTGTGTGCGTGTGTGTGTGTGTGGGGGGGGGAAGGAGAGGGGGGGGGGTCGAGGCGGGTGATGCGCGCGCGTGTGCGCTTGAATGCGTGCTTGCGTGAGTGCGTGCCTGCGCGCGCAAGTACGTTTGAAGAGAAACACATATACAAACAAAATTGAGGAAAATATGTCGCATAGAAATATGATGTTAATAATACACACAGACATCTTAACTCAGTCCAGGAGACATCTTAACACAGTCTAGGAGACATCTTAACACAGTCTCGGAGACATCTTAACACAGTCTAGGAGACATCTTAACACAGTCTAGGAGACATCTTAACACAGTTTAGGAGACATCTTAACACAGTCTAGGAGACATCTTAACACAGTCTAGGAGACATCTTAACACAGTCTAGGAGACATCTTAACTCAGTCCAGGAGACATCTTAACACAGTCTAGGAGACATCTTAACACAGTCTAGGAGACATCTTAACACAGTCTAGGAGACATCTTAACACAGCCCAGGAGACATCTTAACTCAGTCCAGGAGACATCTTAACACAGTCTAGGAGACATCTTAACACAGTCTAGGAGACATCTTAACACAGCCCAGGAGACATCTTAACTCAGTCCAGGAGATATCTTAACACAGTCCTGGAGACATCTTAACACAGTCCTAGAGACATCTTAACACAGTCTAGGAGACATCTTAACAGTCTAGGAGACATCTTAACAGTCTAGGAGACATCTTAACAGTCTAGGAGACATCTTAACAGTCTAGGAGACATCTTAACAGTCTAGGAGACATCTTAACACAGTCCAGGAGACATCTTAACACAGTCCAGGAGACATCTTAACACAGTCCAGGAGACATCTTAACACAGTCCAGGAGACATCTTAACAGTCCAGGAGACATCTTAACACAGTCCAGGAGACATCTTAACACAGTCCAGGAGACATCTTAACACAAACCTGGAGGCGCTCTAACAAGCCTGGAGACGCTCTAACAAACCTGGAGGCGCTCTAACAAGCCTGGAGACGCTCTAACAAGCCTGGAGACGCTCTAACAAACCTGGAGGTGCTCTAACAAGCCTGGAGGCGCTCTAACAAGCCTGGAGACGCTCTAACAAGCCTGGAGACGCTCTAACAAGCCTGGAGACGCTCTAACAAACCTGGAGGCGCTCTAACAAGCCTGGAGACGTTCTAACAAGCCTGGAGGCGCTCTAACAAGCCTGGAGGCGCTCTAACAAGCCTGGAGGCGCTCTAACAAGCCTGGAGGCGCTCTAACAAGCCTGGAGGCGCTCTAACAAGCCTGGAGGCGCTCTAACAAGCCTGGAGGCGCTCTAACAAGCCTGGAGGCGCTCTACCAAGCCTGGAGGCGCTCTAACAAGCCTGGAGACGCTCTAACAAGCCTGGAGACGCTCTAACAAGCCTGGAGACGCTCTAACAAGCCTGGAGACGCTCTAACAAGCCTGGAGACGCTCTAACAAGCCTGGAGGCGCTCTAACAAGCCTGGAGGCGCTCTAACAAGCGTGGAGGCGCTCTAACAAGCGTGGAGGCGCTCTAACAAGCCTGGAGGCGCTCTAACAAGCCTGGAGGCGTTCTAACAAGCCTGGAGGCGTTCTAACAAGCCTGGAGGCGTTCTAACAAGCCTGGAGGCGTTCTAACAAGCCTGGAGGCGTTCTAACAAGCCTGGAGGCGTTCTAACAAGCCTGGAGGCGCTCTAACAAGCCTGGAGGCGCTCTAACAAGCCTGGAGGCGCTCTAACAAGCCTGGAGGCGTTCTAACAAGCCTGGAGGCGTTCTAACAAGCCTGGAGGCGCTCTAACAAGCCTGGAGGCGCTCTAACAAGCCTGGAGGCGCTCTAACAAGCCTGGAGGCGCTCTAACAAGCCTGGAGGCGCTCTAACAAGCCTGGAGGCGTTCTAACAAGCCTGGAGGCGTTCTAACAAGCCTGGAGGCGTTCTAACAAGCCTGGAGACGCTCTAACAAGCCTGGAGGCGCTCTAACAAGCCTGGAGGCGCTCTAACAAGCCTGGAGGCGCTCTAACAAGCCTGGAGGCGCTCTATCAAGCCTGGAGGCGCTCTATCAAGCCTGGAGGCGCTCTATCAAGCCTGGAGGCGCTCTAACACGCTTGGAGGGGCCTTTACAGTCCTGGAGGCTTGATCGTTAACACACCTGGAGGCTCGTTAACACACCTGGAGGCTCGTTAACACACCTGGAGGCTCGTTAACACACCTGGAGGCTCTTTAACACACCTGGAGTGGTTCGATACACTGGTGCGTTGTTCTTTGCACTGGTGCGTTGTTCTTTGCACTGGTGCGTTGTTCTTTGCATTGGTGCGTTGTTCTTTGCACTGGTGCGTTGTTCTTTGCACTGGTGCGTTGTTCTTTGCACTGGTGCGTTGTTCTTTGCACTGGTGCGTTGTTCTTTGCATTGGTGCGTTGTTCTTTGCATTGGTGCGTTGTTCTTTGCATTGGTGCGTTGTTCTTTGCACTGGTGCGTTGTTCTTTGCATTGGTGCGTTGTTCTTTGCACTGGTGCGTTGTTCTTTGCATTGGTGCGTTGTTCTTCACACTGGTGCGTTGTTCTTCACATTGGTGCGTTGTTCTTCACATTGGTGCGTTGTTCTTCACATCGGTGCGTTGTTCTTCACATTGGTGCGTTGTTCTTCACGCTGGTGCGTTGTTCTATACAATGGTGCGTTGTTCTTCACACTGGTGCGTTGTTCTTCACATTGGTGCGTTGTTCTTCACACTGGTGCGTTGTTCTTCACACTGGTGCGTTATTCTCACATTGGTGCGTTGTTCTTCACACTGGTGCGTTGTTCTTCACATTGGTGCGTTGTTCTTCACACTGGTGCGTTGTTCTTCACATTGGTGCGTTGTTCTTCACACTGGTGCGTTGTTCTATACACTGGTGCGTTGTTCTTCACACTGGTGCGTTGTTCTTCACATTGGTGCGTTGGTCTTCACACTGGTGCGTTATTCTTCACACTGGTGCGTTGTTCTTCACACTGGTGCGTTGTTCTTCACACTGGTGCGTTGTTCTTCACACTGGTGCGTTGTTCTTCACACTGGTGCGTTGTTCTTTGAACTGAGACGTTGTTCACACTGGAGGGACAGGGAGACGTCAGAGTGAGTGACAGGGAGACGTCAGAGTGAGTGACAGGGAGACGTCAGAGTGATGGACAGGGAGACGTCAGAGTGAGAAACAGGGAGACGTCAGAGTGAGAAACAGGGAGACATCAGAGTGAGGGACAGAGGGACGTCAGAGTGAGGGACAGAGGGACGTCAGAGTGAGGGACAGAGGGACGTCAGAGTGTGGGACAGAGGGACGTCAGAGTGTGGGACAGAGGGACGTCAGAGTGAGGGACAGAGGGACGTCAGAGTGAGGGACAGAGGGACGTCAGAGTGTGGGACAGAGGGACGTCAGAGGGACAGAGGGACGTCAGAGGGACAGAGGGACGTCAGAGGGACAGAGGGACGTCAGATTAAGTCTCCACACTTCATGAAGTAAACTTTATCTCTCCTTTAATCACCTTCGCTTTTCTCCAATTCTTATCCAACTCTTACCATAAACATTACTTTCTCTGTCTCTCAATATATCTATCTATCTATCAATCTATCTACCTCTCTCTCTCTTTCTCTCTATCTTTTCATGTCTCTGTCTTTGTCTCTGTCTCTCTTTCTCTCTCTGTCTCTCTTTCTCTCTCTCTCTCTCTCTCTCTCTCTCTCTCTCTCTCTCTCTCTCTCTCTCTCTCTCTCTCTCTCTCTCTCTCTCTCTCTCTCTCTCTCTCTCTCTCTCTTTGCTGCTGACTGAGCATATTATGTTATATTTCGGCTCTTGTAATTGAACACACAGTTGCACAATCTTGAAAACATAGGCGCTGTACTTAGCTCCAACACCCACCAGTGGGCCTCGAACCCAGAAAGCACAACTACCTTCCAGTAGCTGCCATAACTAGTACGCCGTAGCTGTACTTAGCTGTCTACAGCTCTGACGTTTAAGGCTCTATTGAAATGACTGATTAAGTGTGACGGATCGCTAAGGGTGACAAGACACCAAAGGATAAATAGAGACCATGTTACCTGCGAGGTAGGTAATAAAAACAGAGAGAAAGAATGAATTTAAAGATCCTAGATCAAGTTGCGGAAGTGTAAGGAAATAAACGAGGGAATATAACAGGAGAGAAGATAAGAACGCGAGAGGAGGATAAAGAGGGGAGACGACAACATGGAACAGAGGAACAGGAACTGAAAATGAACGACAAAAAACAATTCTCAGTTTCTCTCCGAGTATGATTGTGTTCAGAAATTCCTGTCGCTTTTGCCATGGACATTCTCTCCTTTGTGTCGGGCCAAAATGATTTAGTGGAAGCTTAAAACGTTGCAATTTTGTCGTGTCAGGAGAAAGCACAAAAAAGGGGGGGTTGGGGGTGACCCAGAGCAGCCACGCACTTACGTCTGTGCGCACGCGTGTGCACACACACACACACACACACACTTGGGAGATGTTGCCTCCCATATGGTGGAGGCAGACTCCATACACAGTTTCAAGTGTAGATATTATAGAGTCCAGTAGGCTCGGGACCCTGTACATCAGTTGAGAGACGGGACCAAAGAGCCAGAGCTCAACCCCTGCAAGCACAAACAGTTGAGTACACCCACACACACTACACACCAGCTGCAAGACTTCAACACCTACCCATCAGCATCAATACCTCCTCCACCACCACCAGCATCACGACTACTCCAAGTCTCGTCGTCATATTATCTCTCCAACTCTCTCTCCTGGACCCGAGTCCCCAAGCCATTCAGGCCCAGCGAGCGTGCGCCTGTAAGTGGATCACACCGAAGAAGGTGGGGACATCTCTCCAAATCCTCGCTGGCTTGGCGTGGCGCTGCCTCCCACAAATAAACAGA